TGGTTGAAAATTGAATGCTACCACTGAATACGAATACTGAAACAGTTTTCCTGAAACCACGTTCACCATTCAAACTGGCTTCCTTTAACGATCACACTCTAACGCAGATCGGACAACAAATAGGGCTGGCTATTTTTGTGTGGCGCATATATATCTGGTGCCCCCTTGTACCAATACTTATGTGTTCAAATAAACAAATACATTTTGAAGCATAATTGAGATAATTTCGAACGAGATAAAAAAGATCTTTTTTGGAAAATCCATACATAATAGGTATTTCATTCAGTTGTAAGTGTTGAATTGCAGATTTGAATTCTCTTTTGACAACTTAAACCGAATAGTTTTAACTATAGTTATAACGTAATTAAATATATACACCATATAGATATTCATATTTATAGTCAATGAAATTATTAAATAGAATGCAAGTTGGAATCAGAATATTACATTGTTTGAATAGCTTCTAAGCCATAAAAAATATATTCAAACTAAAACTCAATAGTTTCTTTGTAAATTGTAAACTTATTATCAAAATCACTATTATCAATCATTCAGTCATGAATTACAGAGAACCTCGCAAGATGGTGAATCGTCGTACAAAGTTTATTATTATTATTATTGTTATAGACTGCTCGTACGGGTTTTATGCGTCATTGGTCCGGTTGATAATTCACTGTTCTCTAATTGGCGGCATTATTACGTTATACATTGTTAGAGGCACAGGGAACAATTATTATTAATACTGTGTCATTATGTTGACATTGGAAACTAGTTTATTGCATTTCTTATAGAGATCTCAACCGCATCATATTGAAAACTAAGAAAAATTCATGCGATTACAATATTGTACTAAATATGCAATACTATTAGTTACTATTAGTATGTTGTATGTTCACATCAATGAACGAACCATGGAATTTTTTCAAAATCTTTATTTCAAACTTATTCATCATTTTTGGCAATTTTAATGTTGATAAAATTGTATTAATGTGTAAGCTAAAAATCAAAGAATCAGTAATATAGAAGGATGAGTAAGAATATTCCAGGTTTTTAAACAAATAATTTATGTTCAGTGACCTGATATCTCACAACAGACCTGGTTGAACTCCACTGGTGACGGCTTCTCACTAGAACTCCAGGAGGTTCTCCTGAAGTCAGTCACTAGTGAGCAGTTGATTATTATCAGAATGAGTTTTGTGGAGATTTTAGGAAATTTCACAGGTTGAAATCATGAGTCAGTTGAAGCTAGACCACCATTGAAAACCTGGAAGCACTGGACGGCCGTTTCGTCCTAGTATGGGACTCCTCATTTATGTTAAATATGGATGTTTGTGGAATTTTTTTTGAAATTTATTGTTAGTTTTCATTAGATCCAAGATCACCGACCCAGTATTCAGTTGTCCATATATAGTAATGTCTGTGAGTAAATCTTTGCATATAATATCAGTCTATAACAAAAACTAATAAGATAAACTAAGCATTGAAAGCTACTAGACCAAAAAATCACAATTCTTCACTCACGATAGACCACATAGAGAGATATAGATTCAACACTGAATAGAAACTTAGAAGTAAAACAACCGATTAATGATTCTTGGTTCATCAAAATTTCTCAGTTTATGTTGAACTGAAATAAACCCTATCAATTATTTTATTAAATAATAAATGAAATCGCCCAAAATTCGAAATATAATCCCATTCTCTACAACAACAACAAAAAATTATCCTCGTCCAGACTATTGTAGATAATATTATCATAAATGACCTTAAAAATGATCTCGCCCATTTATTGATTTATCCTGTGTGTGTGTATATGTGTGCGTTTATTTTTATCGAAGAAAAAAATTATTTATTTTTTGGAGGAAATAAAGCATCGAAGACAACACCCAAATAAATGAAGCGTTAAAATTGTTCCATTTGTTTATCTTAAGTGAAATATTCATCTAAATCGACTACTACTACTCGTGATCAACTTTTATACTGTTTACGATAATAATAGTTAGACTTACACGAATGTTATATTTCCATTTGAGTAGTAAGGAGAATTAAGCATGTCAGCTTAACTAACATTTTACCGTCCATGAAGCACCGAAAAATGGGCTTTTAGATCAAATATTTTAATTTTGGTTTGATTGATATTTTCCCTTACACTATATACTTATGGAATCCTGTTTATGTAAACTGGAAAAAGTACTCTTGTTCAGTACACGCTGCATAAGTTTATTGTAGTGTGAACAATCGTAAAAATTGGCTAAAATATGTATCTTGACAAATATGAGTGCAAAAGAACCTTTCTCAGCAGGGTCACCTGCTTTACATTTTTAGAAAAGGCTAATCTGATCTTCAAATCGTTTAACATACTTACCTTCACTGAACATCTGTAATTATTATGTTACTTGCAGCTGAGATTGTGGAAAGGTCTTGTAGCTCGTGTAGATGAATGAGGTGGAGTTTTGTTCTGTAAGCTGGATGGTTTGGTCGCAAAGCTTTCACTATTCTAAACAACATCATCGGCACAAACTTCTATCTAAAGCTCCATGACCAAACTATCTAGCTCAGAGAACGAAACTCCGTTTAAATCAAGAGATGGCTAAATATATCTCTGATTGACTTTAGCTGAACATGTAAATTATTAGATTTGTATTTGGGTATGTGAACGTGTCATTTTTGCTAGTTGGTTTAAAGCTAGTTATTAAGTAAGCACAAATAGAAGTGATAAGCTAGAATTAACAGATGTCCAGAGTTCCATAGTTTATAATGATTCTAGGACTGGTTGTAATCAATAATGAAAAGCACTAGTAACTCAGGTTCTATTCAGATAAATAATGGCCATTGTTTGTTGTGCTGATCACAACTACTTTTCAATAATAACTGACACATCTGGCAAAAATTCTCTCTTGTTTACTTTTTACCAAAACACGAACGTATTTTCCCTTTTTTATTAATAAGCAGTGATATGACGTGATAAGAAAATGACATTATTTAGGTCGATATCTTTGGTATCAATTCATCATGAATTTCCGCCAGGGTAACAGGTGCAAACTTCGTTCAGTGACATTTTGATTGTATTCTGGACGTGTTGTTAAGTGAAATCACAATGTTATGATGATAGACATACTGAAAAACTACATCAAGGGGACAACACATTTATTTTAATTGTATTATTCCATTTCTCAAAGAGAAAAAACCTCCCATGTTTAATTTTTAGGGTCGGGAAATCTGGTCAAATGACGCGTTGGAAACTATATGAGAAATGCTTTGAGACAAAAGGAATGACGAAATCAGTTGGACCCAAGTCTTAGGAAGAGTACTTCTCCATGAGGACGCACATTTAACTGGATTTATAACGAATGTCTTAATAACCCAGAATCCTAATCTCAAAGCATAAAGTAATTGTGATTGGAACTGGCTACACACAGACTTTCTGTAGCAACTTTTTATTTCACGTGTTCACCAATTTGAGCCCTTTTAGTGAAACCAAGATCCGGATGGGAATATACTGATTGTAAATCATAAGTTTTCCAACCTATTCCTACTTTTGGAAATTTGTATCTAAAATAATACAGCTGGAGATATTGAATATCAAACCGTTTTTGCAGTTCAGTACATGTAGTACTTCTTCGTTAGATCCGAGACTTAGCGTTCCTCAACTGAATTATTTGGCACCGTAGTACCTCAATCAACAAGTATATCAGTGAATTCGAGTTAAATGAAACAAGATAGAAAAACTTAATCTGTATTTTAAGAACAATTTAATGTTGAAAATCATATCGTAAATACGATAATCACGAGACGCTTAGTTTGTTATTATATATTATCCACATATTTCAAAATGCCGAAGTAACTTCATAAATGTTACAGAGAAAACTGGGTTTTCAAAACACGTTAATTCAAGTACAAATCTCCCTTTGTACTATTTTTAGTGACATAATTACTCTAAAAATCCAATCCCTCTCACCTGTCTGAATAAAGAAAACCTATTCACGTTCGTACACATTCCTTTTATGTTACATTTATAGCTCAGATAGCTTGCTAACATATGTACACTTAGTCTTTGTTTCAATTTCATACTTGTGGAATTATCTGCCTACTTCTGGATCGATCTTTCCCTTGCCAATTGAAATTCATATAACTAAAAATTCCACCTACGCGTAGATTCACTAATTCTTTGAAATACCAAAAGTCTACCTTGTAATTTTTCAGTAACTCATATTTAAGAATTGAGTGCCAAAAACTTAGACAAAGACACATAATAGGCTCGGTATCTAGTTTTGAGCTATAGCAATACGTTTAATTAATAGATAGTTGCTCACGAACGGTTCTCAGCCGTAACACTAGTGAACAGCCGGTTTGTCTTTTTCGAATGGTTTTCAAATATAAGTTAACTGATGACGAGAACTATCTCAAGATGATTTGTTATAACAAAACTGTTTGGGATACTTAATAGTAATACTATGTAAAAACGAATCCGAAACTGTCGAATGTTTCAGAGTTGAAGCCAGAACTATGTGTGGAGGAAATATCAAGGTACTTACTTGCGACTCGTACGATCGTTTACTAACTTTAATGGTGATAGAATTGACTTCAAAATTGATCTAATTAGCACTAATCTTTATTGATTTTTACTAAGATCTATTTTGTAGTAAATATGACCTACTTTTAATCAACCGGTACTTACTACATTTTAAAACTAATAATTTTCGTCATTAGAGATATGGCTGAAAACCGAACATAGTAATGTGAATGCATTCATTGCTTCTATTCCTTTAAAGTTGAAAAGCGTAGCATTCCATACATTTTATTCATCCTTCAGACTTTTTTAATTTCAGGTTTTCACTGTTATTGGTGCTTTTACCCAATATTTTCAATCTTGTTAGTTAGTTTTTAATCGTTGTGCAGGTTTGAGATGTACTGAAAGGAATCAATACACCTATGGGTCAATCCCTATGTTGTCTATCTTTCTATTCATGTGATAGTAACAAAAGTGAAAGAACAATCAATTTGTCCAAGAATACTTACAAGAACTGTATTTACTCCCATTACTTTATACATGAAAAATTCAAAACATACAACACCAATTTGACACTTAAAGTAAGAATTTCCACTTATAAGAACCACTATCCAAATAGGAATATATTTACAATATCTGATATATATATATAATTTTTAGAAAAATTGATATCGCCCGACTAGTCAATTTGAGAATGCTGTTCGGTATCTTTTATGGTTATCTGTGGTAAACCGGAATTAAGCTGTTCTAGGAGAATGCATGCCTGACATATAAGCTGACTTGAAATGCATCCACACTTTTCACAAGTACCTAAACACGAAAGAAACCAAAATAAACAAATTTGTAAGTAGCTGATTTGCAGAGATTTGTATAAGTCATATAAAATGAAAAGAACATGTACCCCATAAAGTGTGATCTAGACGCACAGCATACTTATCAGGTGATAAAGAAAAAGACATCTAACCCGAACTATAAACAGCATTAGTTAGTAGAAGTCAAACAAGACCTCAGTACTCATGTACAAAGACTTTGCCTGACATCAACCTACCAAAAGTGGGGATTGAAATGGTCTATGTGTTCAAATAATTCACTCCTTATTGTCAAACTAGATATCAACATAGATTAAAACCGAAGTAGAATTCTGGATATCAATCGTAAGAAACATGTACTAAATATTTTTGCATTATCATAAACAGAATATTGTTTTTCTTTAGCATTCTCACTTAAACTTAGCTTTAAAATCAAATCGTTAGTGGAAAAAATAAATAGTAAAATATTAAGACTGGTACGACGAGAGTGGGGAGAGTCCGCTCTCCCTCTCGAAATGCTCTCACATGGCCACGCGTATATAGCCTCTGCCAGGGAAGTCCTACTCATTGCCTCCTCGTGGCGGGGGTGTTGTTCACGAAAATGAGAGGACCAAAAGCGAATGTCCGGCACTTTAACCGGATTCCAAACCAATGGTGCACATGGGCTCCAGTATCCTGAGGGAACAAATGGCGTATGAACCAATTGTTGGTCACCGGCTTCCATGGGACTGCATCTCCTTACTATGCTCCACTGCCTTGTGGGTTAGACCTTTAGTCAAAGGCTCAGGGTGTGGCCCCCTAAGATAACCACCTGTTTCGGTTTGGGCACCTGGGTAGTATCACAGCCCTCACACATATCGAATGAGATTTGTGTGGCGCATTTGTATTTGGTGCCTTTTTGTACCATTATCTATGTGTTAAATAAATTAATAATAATAATAAGACTAGGCTTGAAATATAAAACTAAGTTTTATCTGTCTAAAACAAAATTAGTTAAGCACAAATCATCAAATTTAGAAAACTAAGAAGGAATAAAGTAACTTATCAGAATATGCGAAATAGATAAAAAGTAATAAGTCAGTCAGTCAGTCAGCTACAACGTAGGACCAGGCACATGTATGCATCGGTCCAGGTTGCCATACCTCATTAGCACAGCAAGATGAACACCGGATTCATAGGAGTGGTTAGGTCAAAGGTGGTAATATATAGGAGAAAGATTGCAATAAGGATATAGTATAGGAAGAAAGAATTAGTTCGTAGAAAGAAAGATGTGAAGTGATCTTAATCTCTTAGTTTAAGAGAAGACAGAGAGTGTATACACCGACGCCATTGTGATCGATTCTGAGCCATGTCACCAAGGGTCTCCAACCATTGGTTACGAAAGTCACGCGGACCCCAACCAAGTAGTCTGCATCTACCAACATGGCTCAGACTAGAAGTTAGTGACTTCAGGCACTGATGCCACGTTTTGGTTTGGCCGCCCCTAACTTTTTTCCAACCATCCCCTACACCGGTTAGCATTGCACGTCGTGGTAATCGGTGTTCAGGCATACGTAACACGTGACCCGACCATCTCAGTCGATGAAGATTCATAGCCTCATCAACTGATTTACCATCATTCCCTAATACCCTGCGTCTAACCTCACTATTACTTACCCGGTGATCCCAGCAGACGCCAGTAATATTTCTAAGGCATCTGTGGTCAAGTACTAGTAGCTTACGGGTGTCTTCTACTCTTAAGGGCCATGTTTCGCTGCCGTAAATTAAAACAGAACGAACAGCCGAGCAGTATACTCGTCCTTTTATTGATAGACGGATATCTCGCCTCCGCCAAAGGTGACGTAAGTTGGCAAAAGCCAAACGAGCTTTACGAATCCGTGCTGAGATTTCGTCAGACACCAACCCATTAGGGCTGATCAGACTTCCAAGATAAGTGAAGTTGTCAACACGTTCGACTACTTCACTCCCTATCCTTAGTTCAGGTGTTGACGCAGACCAGTCCTGAAGCAACAACTTGCATTTAGAGGGAGAGAAGCGCATCCCAAACATTCTGGCATTGTTGCTTAGTGCTACCAGAAGACTCTGCATTTTGTCAGCGTCTTCACCAAACAGGACTATGTCATCTGCATATTCTAAGTCGATAAGTGGACCTCCTGGAAGGAGATCAATACCCGAGAATTCAGTCGACGAGAGTGTTATTTCCATCAATAGGTCTATGATGAAGTTAAACAAAAATGGAGAAAGTGGGCAGCCTTGACGGACACCACTTGAGGTTGCAAAAGTAGATGACAGTTCGCCATAAGCCCTGACTCGACTAGTAGTGTTCGAGTAAAGAGCCTTCACAAGGTTTATGTAATAAAATATTCATAATACCATTCGATAAGTCATTTCATATTAAGATGTTGTTAATTATGGTCAGTACGGATACTAGATAAGAATTGATCAAACTGGCAATCGTTAAAAAAATATAACGCATAACTAACTATAAATGTTGGGATCAACGCAACAAATCATCTATACCCAATTCACTATACTATAAATAATCCGATCGCGTGACATTAGTTGGTTTTTTTTCTAGTCATAGTAAATCTCGTACACTAAACGCCCATACTGAAGCTCAAGAGTTGGTATCTAAAATATGTATTTTAGACACATAATGAATATCAACTCAACAACCGCGTATGGTTTAGTTTAGTAAACTACGAGTGACACTTATTATGGACGGATTACAGATACTACAAGGCTGTGACAATCGAAATAGGAGTAGCACAGGTTATATTAGTGCTGAACTGATGATAAAAAGCTGACACGCATTTGATTTGCATACACTAATAGAGTGAGTACAATGTTTTTATTTGAAAAGTGTAGCGCATATATATTCGGCGCACTCCTGTACCAATATATATGTGTTCAAATAAATAAAATAATTTTATTTGAAAGTGAAGACATACTTTTCTGAGGCATCTTTACATCACTTCGAATAGCCATACGTTCACCGGATGCTATAATATCTAAATCAAATAAGGTGAATTCCACTCTAACAGAAAGCAACCCACCTATGATAGTCCTAGGTCGTATTCTCTCCAAATCCTTGATAAACGCTCTTACATGCCCTCTAAATAATAAAAAACACAATAAAATACCACTACTTACCGATAAGCTTGTGGTGCGTATTTACATTCAGTTGAAAAATAATCCAATTTATGCATATGTGCATACATGACAATCTCCTTTTCGTAAGCATATTTAAAAGGTTTAAAACGAGGAAGTATATCATCTGTACCCTAAACATATTTGTATGAGTAAAATTAACTTGAAAACTCCTAGTTTTTCCATTACTTACTGTCATTATAGCTGTACATCGTTTTAATCGACCAATATCACCTCGTAGAACTGTAAGCAAAAAAGGGAAAATGAGAAAACTGTTTCTGTTTCAATTCAGCACATAAAATCCCATAAAAAGCACATAAAACTCTCAGCAAACCAAAACACATATTTAAACCGAGCAGTTGTAACTTACTATTCATTAACACTGTCTCTGCAATATCATCAGCGTTATGACCAGTACATATTTTGTTAGCTCCAAGAAGTAGTGCACCTTTGTCCAAAGCCTGGCGGCGAAATATCCCACAGTAAGTACCTGCCAAATTTTTTCAATAAACAAAAACACTAGTGCATCAACTACAATTTCGTTTATTCCCAATATGCTTCACAATATCATCCATTGACCATCCGTACAAATCCTAAAAATCGTTTAGACTGTGAAGGAGAGAATCTACCTGATAAGAAAGAATTTTTAACGGAAGTCCATATTGGATCTGATTTCGCTGAACAGTCTAAAAAATCATTATATTGCAAATATTTTAACTAAAAATAAAACAAACCTTACCATTAATGAGTCATCTCTATATCCACTTATACCTTCATCAATAGATAAAAGAAGCAATTCCGCTCCATAATCATATCTTTTATTTAACAAGTTTAGTATGTAAGCTAATACGGTAGAATCTAAAAATACAAAAATATATACATTTATATAGACTTCCTTTGCTTTATTTTCTACACCTAATTATTTTCAGAAACTAATAATCAGCTATCACTACAACAGTCAATTGTTCTATTCTTAATATTTATCAAGTAGACAATTATCTTCACCTTGATATTTTCTATTAACAGTTGGATCATTGCACACCTTCCTATCAATATGAGATTTTCGTGAACTTATAAGACGATACTATATCATTTTCTTAAAATTTATTCAACACCATTGTATTTTACCACAGGTTACTGCTATTTTTAGCAAATAATACAATAAAAAATACAATGCAACCGTACAGCTTAGGCCAACGAGAATATCCATAAGTTAGGCGTTCACGCGCAAAACCGAAAGTTCTGAGCTCGAGTCACGAATGAGGGATCGCGGGTGCACACTGGTGAGGAGCCCCACGATAAGACGAAACGGCCGCCTAGTGCTTTTAAGTTTCTAATGTTGGTCTAGTTTAGAGCAACTCGTGATTTCAACTGCGAAAATTTTTTTAGCTTAAATATTTCTATTTCTTCATCGATTAATAAAAGGAAATCTATGATTATGTTTACCTTTACCACCAGAGGCACCAATAGCAATTTTATCACCACGACTAATAAGCTTGGCATTTACAACTGTCCAATGTATTTCTTCTTCGAAACACCAAGAAAAACATTCTTTACACATAATATCACTCTATATAAGTCAAGTTGAAAAATAATTCAAAAACATATACGGTTTTCGGGCGTTTAATATAACCCTTTGACTGACATCTGCAACACGAAACTGGCATACTAGTTTTACACTTCCTAAAATAAGAATTTGTTTGAAATAAGGGTGAATGAAATTGAATACAAAAGCCCATAATAGCAAAGATAATGCTACTCATTAAAAAATGATCTCCCCAACCACGGTATGATCGATACAGTATAGTGAATGAACTGGTATCATTCTAATTATTTATTGCTATATCACCTAACATTTAATAAAATTACTGCGTGAAATATTAGCTTAACGTAAATTTAACTTTGAGGCGATTAGTTGACTGAAGAATAAATGTAAATACATTTTAGTCATAAAGATTATAAAAATGAACTATTTACGACAAAGTGCAATCCTAAATGAAATTTCGCAATTTGAAAAACCTAAAGGCAGTCAGTCACAACGCAGAACGTGTACTTATGTACATCGGTCCAAGTCCCCATACCCCATTATTTATTTCAACACATAGATAATGGTACAAAAAGGCACCAAATACAAATGCGCCACACAAATCTCATTCGATATGTGTGAGGGCTGTGATACTGCCCAGGTGCCCAAACCGAAGCAGGTGGTTATCTTAGGGGGCCACACCCTGAGCCTTCGACCTGAAGGTCTGATCCACAAGGCAGTGGAGCATAGTAAGGAGATGCAGTCCCACGGAAGCCGGTGACCAACAATTGGTTCATACGCCATTTGTTCCCTCAGGATACTGGAGCCCATGTGCACCATTGGTTTGGAATCCGGTTAAAGCGCCGGACATTCGCTTTTGGTCCTCTCATTTTCGTGAACAACACCCCCGCCACGAGAAGGCAATGAGTAGGACTTCCCTGGCAGAGGCTATATACGCGTGGCCGTGTGAGAGCATTTCGAGAGTTATCGGGCTAAATCCCAGAATAATAGGAGTAATAACACAGAGGTAATGGGAAAGAATAGGCATCGAAGATACGTCAGTCAGTCAGTCACCAGCAACGTAGAACTTCGTACGTACGTACATCAGTTCGAGTTGCCATACCACATTCGCACAGAGATGCAGTTATCGATTCAAATCCCGTAGTGGTAGAGGTAATAAGAGTATAAGCAGTAATCGGGAAGATTAGGGTTTGGAGATGTTATTTAAAGAGTATAATCCAGTGAAACAAATTTGGAAAGAGAAAAAAAAACAAGGAGGAATCAGGAGATTAGAATTTGGAAGAACATAAAGAGTGGATGCACCTGCGCCATTGCAAACGATTTCGAGTCATGTCATTTAGGGTCTCACCATAGGTTGCTATCGTCTCGCGGGTCCCTACCAGGTAGTCTACACCTATCTACATGGCTCAGTACACTTGTCAGTGATTTCATGGAGTTGTGCCATGTTTTGGTCTGGCCGCCCATAGCTTTCTTCCAACCCACTCCTACACCAGAAACCATCGCACATCGATGCATTCGATGGTTGGGCATACGTAACACGTGTCCCAGCCATCTCAACTGATGAAATTTCACTACGTCATCAATTGATTTGCTATCCTTACCTAGTACCCGTTTCCTAACAACTGCATTACTTACTCGATGGTCCCAGGATATACGAGCAATATTTCGAAGACACCTATGATCAAATACTAGTAACCTACGAATATCCTCTACTCTTACCGGCCATGTTTCACTGCCATAAAGTCGGACGGAACGAACTGCTGCGCAGTAAACCCGTCCTTTGGTTGATAGACAGATATCTCGCCTACGCCCTAAATGACGCAAGTTGGTAAATGCTAGTCGAGCCTTCTGTATCCGTGCTGAGATTTCATCACACATCAGACCACAAGAGCTGATGAGACTCCCAAGATAAGTGAAGCGGTCGACACGCTCAACTACTTCACTCCCTATCATTAGTTCAGGTGTCCATGCAACCCAATCCTGAAGCGACATTTTGCATTTCGAAGGGGAGAATCGCATCCCGAACATGATTGCATTGTTGCTTAGAGTGGTCAGAAGACTGCATTTTGTCAGCGTCTTCGCCAAATAAAACTATGTCATCAGCATATTCCAAGTCAACAAGTGAATCTCCCGGTAGAAGTCCAACTCCTGGAAATTTAGATGAGAAAAGTGACATCTCTAAAAGCCCATCGACGACAAAGTTGAACAAGAATGGAGAGAGTGGACAGCCCTAACGAACACCACTCAATAATGAGTACTAGTTGTAATTCAGTAAGAAGATTTTAGGTGTTGTTTCTTCACTATAAGATGACTATGGAGAGAGTGGGCAGCCCTGACGAACACCACTTGAGGTAATCAATTCTGATGACAGTTCGCCATAAGCTCTCACTCTACCAGTTGTGTTTGAGTAGAGAGCCTTTATAAGGTTAATGTACTTCTTTGGTACTCCTTTCAGTGACAAACACTGCCATAGAACCTTACGATCAACAGAGTCAAATGCCGCCTTAAGGTCGAGAAATACTACGATTGTAGGGCATCTTAATGTGTGTCTGTGTTCTAGAACCTGACGTAGTGTGAATATGTGGTCTATACAACCACGTCCAGGTCGAAAACCAGCCCAGTTTTCTCTAGTCTGCTCTTCACGAGCTTTGGTGAGGCGTCGAAGTATTATTGAAGCTAATATTTTAGACACTATATTAGTCAAACTGATTCCTCTGTGATTGTCACAAGAGGACTTTTGTCCTTTCTTATAGACTGGCACAATCAGTGATTGAGACCAGTCAGATGGGATTACGTCCAGTTCCCAAATTCTACCTAAGACCTCAGTTAATCTCACTGCTAATACTGAACCACCATCCTTAAAAATCTCAGGGGTAAACCTGTCAGCGCCTTCTGCTCTCCCACGCTTCAGATTTCCTATGGCTTTTTCAACTTCGTAAAGAGACGGAGGACCTACATTAACTTGCCATTCAGGTTGACTGGAGATCGTGGGAAACCGAAGTGTGGTTGAAGGCCAGTTGAACTGATCCCTGAAGTGTTCTGCCCATCGATCCAATCCCCTGGATTGAGAATGTATAATATGTCCATCTTTCTCTGAGATTGTTTCGCTAACAGTCGGTTTCCTAATACCGGTTTCCTTAACAAGTCTGAACAATCGTCTGCTATTACCTATTGCCGCTGCCTTTTCCATCTCTCTTGCTTTCGCTACCCACCACTGTTCACGATCATTGCGTAGACTTTTTGTCAGCTTGCGCTTAAGTTGACTCCGCTCTTCATTATGTTCAGAGCCAGGTGGAATGAGTTTCCGAGCATCTATCAGTGCGATAGTTGCTGATGAGATCCAGTGTACCTTACTAGCAGACATCACTGCTGTTTCCATAGCTTTTCTGATACCATCCCACGCTGCATCGGGGTGAGCATCACTTATATGGCTGCCTAACTTTTCTAGTTGTTCCTGAAATATATTCTTAGCTTGGCTATCATTAAGTAGGACCCTAAGGGGTTTCCTTAAAGTGTCTCTCCTACGCCGAGTAAGACGTAGACAGAATACGACCCGAAAAGAAAATATAAACTAGCAAAATAAAAACAAAAAAAGTGATATGAGGAATTTAGAATCTCAGGATTTAAGGGAAGACAAAGAATCGATGCACCTGCGCCATTCCGAATGATTTTGATCCATGTAATTCGAAGTCTCTAACCACTGGTTACGATAATCACGCGGACCCCAACCAGGTAGTTTGTACCCATTAACAAGGCTGTCTAAATGTTAGTGACTTGATGGACTGATGCCATGTTTTGATTTGGTTGCCCCCTCTATTTTTTCAGCCTGCTCCTGCTCCAGAAAACATTGTCCGTAGAGGAGAACGGTGGTTAGGGATTCTTAACACGTGTTCCAACCACCTCATTTGAAGACTTACTTCTTCATCAATCGACTTACCATCTTTACCTAGCACTCTATCTCTAACACAGGTATTGTTTACTCCGTGGTCCCGGAATACATGATCAATGCTTCGTAGACACCCATGATAGAATACTAGTTACCAATGAATATCCTGTACTCTTAATGACCATGTTTTACACCCATAAAGAACTACTGAGCAGTAAATTCGCCCTTTGGTTGGAAGACGAGTATCTCGCTTACTCCATAAGTGACGCCAGTTGACAAAAGCCACTCAAGCCTTCTGGATGGGTGCTGAGATTCCATCAGAAACCAGGCCATCAGTATTGATGAGACTCAAATACTTTACTCCTTGTCATTAAGTCGGGCTCTGACACAAGTCAACCTTCAAGTAGCATTTTGTAATCAAAGAAAGACAATCCAATCTCAAACATGTTTGTATTGTTGCTTAAGATGGTCAGAAGACTTTGTATTTTGTTGGTGTCTCCATCAAACAGAACTATATTATCTGCGTATTCTAAGTTAACAAGTGAATCTCCTGGTTGAAGGCCAACCTTTGGAAATACAGATGAGTGTTATCTCTAAAACCATATCTATGACAAAGTCAAGTAAAAGTGGAGAGAATGGACAACCCTGACGAACAACACTTTAAGAAACTAATTTCAAAGATAGTTCGTCATAAGCTCTGACTCGATCAGTAGTATTCGAGTAGAGAGCCTGTACAAAGTTAATGTACTTCTTTGGTACACCTTTCAATGACAGACACTACCATAAAACCTCACGATCGACATAGTCGAATGCTGTCTTAAGGTCAGAGAATACAACTACAGTCAGTCAGTCAGCTACAACGTAGGACCAGGCACATGTATGCATCGGTCCAGGTTGCCATACCTCATTAGCACAGCAAGATGAACACCGGATTCATAGGAGTGGTTAGGTCAAACGTGGTAATATATAGGAGAAAGATTGCAATAAGGATATAGTATAGGAAGAAAGAATTAGTTCGTAAAAAGAAAGATGTGAAGTGATCTTAATCTCTTAGTTTAAGAGAAGACAGAGAGTGTATACACCGACGCCATTGTGATCGATTCTGAGCCATGTCACCAAGGGTCTCCAACCATTGGTTACGAAAGTCACGCGGACCCCAACCAAGTAGTCTGCATCTACCAACATGGCTCAGACTAGAGGT